CCCCAAAACCCCAAAACCCCAAAACCCCTTAGAGATAAATTGATCAGTTAAGTGAAATATTTTAAATTTACTATTAAAATTCTAAAATAAATAGATAGAGCATAAATGAAACAGAATAAAGGACTTCTCTTTAAGCAATAACCAACAAATCCCTAGAGGTACTCTAAGTGAAATACCTCTTAAAAAGAAAATCAATCTATCTTAATGAAGAAATCGTAGAGTTTGGAGAATATAGGATTATAGAATACATAGTAAAAAAATCCTAAATCCAGGAACACACTGTAGAAATAATAAACTTATTCAGGCTAAGAAGAATAAGCCAAATTAACTTTTGGAAATTAGGCTTCAAACCCCAAGGAAGATAAGGCTAAAATTGCTACAATCAAACTTAACAACTACATCAAATAAGTAAAAAATATACTTGAGGATACATAAAGTCAGTAAACACTTACCAAGCAAAGTTCAATACAGAGTTCAATAGTTCAATCAAATGCAGTAATGCAAATTGATAACTCAAGAAATTAGGGTAAATTGGGTAAATTCAATAGTATTTTCACCTAATCTCAAAACATCAACTCTCATCTAAAGTAATTCCATATGGTTATGTAAGATTAGCTCACATCTTATTAAATTGACTAGCAGTCAGCTAAGAGTTTGTCTAAGGTGAATTCATTTGCAAACTAGAATGAAATTCAAAGCATTTTGATGAATCCAATGATGTAAGAGTCGAATACTTATATGAATCGAATTGGAGACATATCAAGATCTAATTCTAGAAATAAAATTTAAACTAACTAAAAGTAAAATTGTAACATAATGCCGATAGGAAATGGCTATTAAGCTGGTATCAACACTCTATTTTCTCCACTTCAAAATATTTAAAATACAGACCATCAACTTCTTTGGAAATTAGAGACAAGTGCGACAAAGCCCCAATTATTCAAGAATTATGATGTAGTTTCTCTTGTTAGCTACAATAGTAGCAGGGATCACAGCATGAGTAAGGTAGGTCTATCCTAGTTTAGCAATAATGACCATTCCAAATTCGTTTAGAACTCAAATAATTAAAGATACTCAAAGAATCATATTTTCTTTGATAATCATCACTAATAAAGCAACACCTAGAGATAGAGAGCAAACCTAGTAAAAGGCCACTAAATTTTAAAGTCTCATCTAAATGACACCAGCAATGCTTAAAACATATCATATTTTTGCAAAGATACCTATGATGATGAACTCTCTCATAAAAGTTTGGATGCTACCACTAACAGTACAAATACAATTGTCAAGTCCAATTTTATAAGTTACCAAAATATTGCTGGCATGAATTCTACTTCCAATTTCAAATTGATTAAAAATTAGTAGTAATCAAGGAAAGAAGTGGATGAATCAGTATGCTCGCTAGTACTTGAGACCGATGAAAATCTAAATGAAGTTAATTTTAGGTAACCTTATACTTCAGATGTAGATTAAATGCGAAGCATTCTTGAAAAGGCACCAGCTGTAAAAAGATAAAGCTAAAAATACAATATAGAAAATAAAATTAGCAATAATAATGGGACACAAACTCAGAGAGTAATTGATAATCTGTAAATTGAGGATTGCTGTTTAATACAAAGCATCAACAAAGACACTTTATCTTCAAAAATCAAATGCCTTCTAAGCAATTAAAATTCATCTAAAAATAATGCTAGCAGGAATTAATAAATAGGCAATAGTAAGTAAACATTACATGCTAGAACGCATGAAGACAGTATCAAGCCGACTTCTTCAGAAAAATAACTCCAAAGTGAAACTAAAGTAATTTCAAGCTATCATCATATCAAAGTCAAGCTGGAATAGATAAAGTAAAAATAAAATAAAATTGGCAAGCAATAAAGATAGATCTCTGTGATAAGTTATGATTTAAACAAGCAACAGTAATAGTATGACTATCCAAGGCAGATTCCTCTAAGTTCATAAAATCAAATAATAGACAATATTTCAAGTTCAAGCGATGAAAGCACACCTTATTAGCAAAAGAATTTCCTTAATGCAATATAAACTTAGTCTGGCAGCTAGAACAACACTTTGATATCTATTCTTAGAAATGGCAGTTCAAATTAATCAATAGAGAGGACTTTTAATCATTCCGACATGAATAAACAAAATATATCGTCACTTAACAACTTAACAAATCCAAATGATCATAGTTATTCAAAGTTAGCCCTAGCCTTAACTTCTAATACAACTAGAGAGGAAAGGCCTATGGCATATTAGGATTACTTGGCTCATCATTAGAAGGATAGTGATTCGAATTTGCAACCTAGTGAAAACTCTTAGTTTCAATTTACACCAAAGTTCTATAGAATGCCTCTGAAATAAAAGAACGATCTGATATTTAAAAGATGTACGAATGTGATTTAGAATAATAAAGAGAGGAAAGATAAAGATGACCTTCTTACTCCGGAAATTCCGATTTGCAACAGAACAACTAGAATGAACAATCAATTACTCTTTAGATCTAAAAGTATTTATGAATGAATGATTTTACTTTACAACGATAAATTTGGGCTTTATAACTTTATCATGGGGTTTTGGGGTTTTGGGGTTTTGGGG